GTCCGTCTGGGAGCCGGCTGGCGTTGGCTCTGTCGGACACAGGGGAAGCTTCTGGCAGCTTCTCACAGCAGCCACCCCTGTAGCCCCCCGCTACCAAAACCTCGCCATGCAAACCCAATACAGCGTTTCAGGGATTAGGTGCACCACTTGAACCTTTGATCTGTCATAGCATTTCTGCGCACAGTTGTACTTTCCACTGCGATCTTTATGTCTTGTCATTCTGACTTTCTTTATGCCTGAATCATATATATATATTTTGTTGTTGTTGTTGTTGTTTTTTTGTTTTCCCTGCTTCCTGGTTTAGCTTAGTTTCCGTTGCATCCCATCTCCTGTCTTGCTTCAGAGACCCTGTGTGTGTTGGACATCGTTACATGTATCCCTATTAGTGCTACACACCTTACAGCTGAATACAGGAAAAAGAGAGGAAACCAAGCATTTCAAGATGATCGCATGCAATGTAGTGCTCCTTACATATATAGTTTGACAAACTCCAGTAATGTTGCAGTTTTTCAGTAGCTTTCACCCATTTTTCATTCCCCTATACTCAAGTACCTGGCCAAAAGCTGTATATTTGATAAGAATTTTGTTTTAAGACCTGCCAAGAAATAAGAGGGCTTTTATTACTGAATGATTCATCAGTGCAGAAGTTGTTTTGGTCCTGCTGGAGTATTTTGTATGATGCAGAGATAATTGCCACTGTTGTAAAATATTTTCATTGAGAACAGTTGACATAAAACACTGCACAGAAACTGATCTGTCAGCTTTGTTGTTTGGTGAATCATAATGTGTTGTATATTTTTACTTTCTTTGTGCTTGAAAGATCTCTGTGAAGATTAAAAAAAAAAAGTAAATTTGTTCTAGTTGTACTTTCAAATACAAAGGTGGCATTTCATATGCGACTTTAAAAGTTGCTGGTTTGGGTTTTTTTTTCTGTTTCCCAAATTAATGGATACTTTAGAGAAAGTAGCAACATATAAGAAATACGTAAATGTATTTTTGGGACTAATTTCTTTCACCTTTTAAAGCTGAAAAATGGTTGGAACTAAGTTCTTTCACCTTTTGGTGGTGAAATTCTTTCACATTTTAAAGCCAAAATCCTGGTGTTTTACTGAACAGCATGTATATGGGCTTGGAGCACAGGAAATGTTGAAGACTGGGAAATATAGCCATTTTTAATAGGTGTTGCATACTTTAATATTTTAATATTAAATACGCATACTTTTGCACATTTTAATAATTTGCAGCTACCTCCCTTTTCTGCCACCCGTGAGGTTCGTGTCTCTTCCTTAGCACGTACAAGCCCAGTGATACAATGTGCAGTGATAAGAGTTTGTGTCTTTAGAACGTAGTGGCACGTGATGTAGGAACACATCCTATATAAGTCTTTTCCAAAAATTTTGTTTGTGGAGGGCTGAAGAATGGTAGGGTCAGCAGCTTTGGAGCCACATAATCCAACTCATTTGCAGTGGAGGCAATGGTCAGCATGATGGCCATAAAGTTCCCGTCCAAGCCATATCAAAGGTTTGGCAGGCTGCATTTTGGAAACATAACTTCTAGAATCTGTATGCTAGAATGTGTGCCCTCTTCTTCATACTGAGACTTTTTCTGCCTTTCATGTACTATGGCCTCTTTTTTGAAAGGAGCCACTCGTAAATGGAGTAATTTTTTTCAAGGAATTAATAGGAGTTTAAATAAAAGACTGAGTGTAATTCTCCCATCCCAGACCCTTTGTAATCCAATGCCAAGGATTGTCTCAGTTGTAGACTGGTTGTTGCAGACATTTGACTTTTATATTGTTCAAAAGTCTGTGACAAAATGTTTCATAAACAAATAAATGGTCTGTCTGACTACAAGCATTCAGCAAATTAAACTGTCTTCAGTGCTTCTCCGGTAGGCCTAATTGACCCAAAAGTTAGAACCTGGAGACGAAATACAGTTGTCTAAAGACAAAGTACTATTCTGCTCTGATCTTCTTGGCACGTGGCCCTTGTCTGTTGCATTGATTTTTGTAGTAATGGGTGAGAACGTTAGAAAATAGATGAAGAATCCTCTCTTCTTCTGCCTAAATTCTACTTCAGAGCCTCAGGAATGCAGGTGACCACAGTAGCGTTCCCATAAGCTCTACTTGGATGTTAAAGCATAACTTCATTCTATAAGAACAAAGAAACCCAAAATAAGCTCCAGGGTTGCTATTTGAATGTCTGATATATCCTTGAATTTGCTGATCGTAATGTCTTTGTGAATGTAATATGAACAGAAATGTTTGAAATTAAAATGTAACTTCAGTTTATAAATCATCCATAGTTGCAAACAAAAACAAAACACATCTTAATTATCATAACTATGTATATATATACACATGCTTATATATGCACACATGCATGTGTACCTACAGTCAATTTTTTGTTTTTTTCTTTTAGGTGTATGCTAAGAGTTCTGGATTCCTTTGGAACCGAACCAGAGTTCAACCATGCCCATTACGCCCAGTCTAAAGGCCACAAGACACCATGGGGAAAGTGGAACCTTAATCCACAGCAGTTTTATACAATGTTCCGTAAGTATCCCTGTGTTTATAAATAAATTGGAGCTTTAAAAAGGAATGCGGTCATTGAGAAAAATTTTTGTATTATGAAAGACAAATTCATGGTTTAATAAAATGCAGTTGCTAAATGGGCAGAATTGTGTCAATAAGTGTCTCTAGACTAAATCTCTATCATGCTTCCATCCAGCGATCAGAAAATAACAATATCAACTTAATAGAAATAGTGGTAGGGAACTGTATTCTCAGGGTACCTGTGGAAAGTGGTGATTCGCTTTTCCTTCAGGTGTCAGTGAGTTTGGTTTTGGTAGTTTTGCCTTCTCAAATCCTGCTATGGAGGGATAGGTTTTTGAGGAACTTGCTAGGTTGCATTTTTATAAACTGCTCTCTTGCATTTCATCATGTTAAACTGAAGTTTGTAACTACATTGTATTTCTGCTTTTTTACCTCAACAACTGAGCAGCACAATTTCTTTGCTATTTCTTTGCATTCAGGATTAATAAACTAGGCTTCAGCAGAAATAATTTTTTGTCTCTATTTTTTTGTGGATTTCTCAAAATTTTCACCTGGCTTGTTTTCATGCTGTTAGCATTCATCCTGAGGTGAACTGATTCACGTTTTTTTGCCAGCAGTGTACAAAACTATTGAAAAACGAGTAGTAGATTTCAGCATTATTAAATATCTTAAAAAAAACCCCAAAACCTTAAAAAGAAACAAAAAGAAAAAAAGAATAAATTCTGTATAAATCAGGTCAGATTAAATGGTTACAGTGACCTGCTCCAGCCCTAGTCTTTGACTTCATGGCACTAGGTTCTAGAATCAAAGTATCTTTCTCTTTTGCATGTTGTAGTAGTGCTTCAAGTTTGTTCTCTCTGAAAGGTGCAGAAACATTCACCACGGGCAGCTAGCTTGAGGGTAAGTGAGGCTAACGAAGAGAAAAGTGCATACTGTTGTGTGCAGCAACTTCTCAGCCCTCGTCCGTAAAGAAACACTTGCTAGCGACCAGCCTGACCTCCAAAGTTTGGTGGTCCCTGTCTGAGACTAAGGCCGGGGCATGCACTCTTCTCTCTCATCAGACTTCATAGTCAAGTCTTTCAAACTTTTCTGCTTTTCATAGCAGAATTATACATGCTGCTGTCTGGTTGACATGCTTTTGATTCCAGTTGCCCTGTAAAATTCTTGAGAGAGGCATATTTTGTCTGTCAACATTTGCTGTGTAAGTTTTTCCAGAGAAATATAAGTGAAGGTTGTTCAAAAGATAAAAGACTGCATTCACAGTTGTTTCGAAGCAAGTAACAAAACGCGTGGTGAGGAAATGTGACTTGGAAGTGGTTGCAGAGTTTGTGCCTGGACATTAGTAAGCAGCACTTGTTCCATATCCACATGATGTGCTAATATTTATTGGTTTATGTCCTAAGTGGAAAAGGAGACGAACGCTCAATTGTGCTGTATTTAAGTGGTCCAGCTGTTGGGAAATTTGTGTGTGACACCCTGTTCAAGACAGCACCAAGGGTGATGATGCTCTTGAGGAAAATAGTTGCATAATTATTTGTGGTACAGCTGCGTGTGTGCACTCCTCAATCCCGCTCCATGAAATGCGGAAGAAAGTAAACCTTCTCCATAGAGACCTCTGTTGTGGCAGTACAGACTACTCTTACAGTCTCTTGCTCAGAGCAAATCACTTCATAAGGAATTTTCAGAAGAGTACATTGGAATTTCAATAAACAACCATTTCCAGTTTTTACTCCTGGAAGTGACTGCTGGCTTTGCTTTGCAGGGAAAGTGGTAAAGAGATTGCAAGCAAACTCATTCTAGAGCATGAGTGATTCCAGTGCTATAGACGATTCAAGGATTTTGCTTCTTTTGGTACTAGGTGCAGAAGAGTCAGTGTTCTGTGATATTTAAGACTTAATTTTTGTTTTTAGTTCTCTGCTGCAGAGATAGTCCCATCTTTATGGGGTTGTGATTAGAAGTGCATGTTATGCATCAGTAAAGATTTTTATGACAGGTGGAACCCTGGACAGCTTCCCAAGATCCCCAGACTCTATTATGTTTTGAGAACTGATTATAAGGGCAGAAAATTATTACTGAGCATCAAGTAAGCCATATTCAAACCTGTGGCATATTACCGAATGCTTGACTGTTCTCTGAGCTTTCCAGAAGCATGAGGGCTTTTTTTCCCTTTTTTGTGTTTTTTATTTAAATTCTTTTATGCAAAATAACAGCACTGGTACTTTTAAAACTGCATGATCTTGCTTAAAAATCCATCTGAGTGCTTCCTGTCAGTGATGTTTGAGGCACTGAATTCCACCGGTTCTAAGTGCTAACTTTAACAAAGGTTTATTTTTCTTTTGAGTGTGTACTGCCTTGCCTCTCCTTTGAATGCAGTCTCTCAACCAAAAATATGAAAGGATGGAAAAATGCCCCTTTTCAGGCATATTTGCAACGTGCCATTTGCTATGCTAAATTCTAAAAAGTCCTTGGGTCTAAGTGAGTGCCTAGCTGTTGCTGAGGCATTTTTTGTGAAAAAGAGTAATTGTCATTTGAAAGACTAAATGTAATGGCAGAGGGAAGCGTGCACTGTGTATGGTTTCTCTGTTCTACTCATTATCCAGTTGGCTGATTTTCAGGAATCAAAAAGCAAAACCTCATAATTGCAATAGAATTTTATATATATATATATATA